TGGCATTCCGAAAGGAACCTGCAGGTGGGAGATCTCGTGGTTCTTCGGGACGCGAATTGCCCACCGGCGTGTTGGCGGCTCGCACGCGTGAAGACGTTGCACCCCGGTGAGGACGGCCGAGTTCGAGTCGTAACCATCCGCACTGCCAGCGGAGCAGCTCGTGCGCTTGCCAGTGGACATGCCCGCTGGACCCACCTCAGGATCGGAGCAGCAACGAAGGGAAAGCGAGCGTACACGGCGGGCGATGCGAGCTCGCCATTAGACAGTTATTGTCTATTACATGGAGCACATGGGCCGTAGCCAGTTCTGACCGGGCGAAGCTGATCTAGCTTATGCCGATCGATGGAAAATCAGTGGTGAACAGCTGCGAGGGGACCGGGACGTGGATCCAGCGCGCCTTCACTGTTAATTCATTAGGCCGGGTACAGAAGACCCAGTCTTGACTCCGTGTCGGCTTCAAGGAGTTTTGTGTTTATTTTAGGTTGGATAGGCCGTGTTACCTACTCCAACTATACACATGGCTTTGGTCTATCAGCCGCCCGACCGAACATCAGCGGAGCTGAGGCAGGCGGAATGTTCCGACCGGATCGCGGCCCGCGGGTCAACGTACGTTCGACATTCGGTGTACGCCGTTTCGCCGTTTTTGTCAAATAAACGGCGAGGCGGCAAGACAATAACACGATCGACGTACGTTGGCCCGATCGTCAAACGCTCGCCTCGGCTGTAAATTAAACGCGGCGTTTTTGCCTTGCCAAGGCAACGACCGGTCTTCGACACCTGACGATGCTTCCCCTTGTGAACATCGGCCAGGTGTCTATATATACTGCCGCATATTAAGTAACGATTGGTATTGTTAACGCTCTCCTGCGAGGTTTCAATTCAAGTATTATTCTGCACCCTTGCGCCCATACGCTGATCGAAGCCGTGCTTCAATTTTTATACACAAATTTACGTGGACTCCGACGGTTATTTTGCGCCGTGCACAACAGCATTCTTCGAGACTTTGTGTGCACACGTAAACTTACCATATTGGTTCCTAGAAAACAATTGTAGAGAATTTAGTTTATTTGTGCTGTAATTTTTACCGGCTGTTACTTTGCGCCAGTAGTAATACTAGTTCGACTAAATTTGATTTATAACCATTTTCACTGCCTGTCCACTCAATTTTGTCCGCAATTGTATATGTCAAGTTGATCATTTCAACGATGATAGCACATTTTAATTTTTCCAGTTACCGAATGGAAACTGCAATCCAAAATGCGATACAGTCGGGTTCACGGGAACCGTTAAACGTGCAACCAGCTATCGAATTACATCAACGATCTCTTCAGTTAGTATCATAATACAGGTATTGCATTAACGCAGGCGTATTTCTCACTGTACTGTTATTACGTCTTTTGCCTGTCCTGCATTTGTCGACGGTCAACACGCTGGAACGTTGTGAATTCGTAAACGAAGAATGACCGCAAGTCTCACGGACGACATGATGATTTCATATTTAGTGGCGATCGTAGCAGTTATTATCTCGTTCGCTGTCAATTTATACCGTGTAAGCATTCTTAGAAGTGAGCAAGATGGATTCGAGAAACGATCTATGATCTGATATGATGAATTTCCAACAAAGGAACATATTCAACTTACGCAAGCCGATTTTAATGAGACTCCCGTTAGGTATAGTTCTTAGAAAAATATTCTACAGAGCATAAAACAATAATTTTATTTAATTGTGTGGCTTCTATTGTAGATGAATTATGTCTATGATGATTTTAGTCGCTTAGGGAAACTTAAGAACAATTTCTTTGTTTAAATAACATGTGAGAAACTTTGATTTCTTTTGCCTCTATCCCTACTATTTTAATCTATTTTGCCCAATATATTTTAACCTATTTTAATAAAACGATTCGTTTTTGAAATTCGAATATGTTCCTTTCCGCGTGTCAGTTGAACAGGGAATAGAGTAAAATGATTTTTTTATGTGTGACAGTTTCTTCTGGCTACAAATAATATGGACGATTATGAAAATCTTTTCTTCTCTGGGAATATACTGCTATTACATTTTGTAATCATGTTCTTAAACAATTATAGTGGACAGAGATTGATAAACAGTAGTGTGCACATTTTCGACAAAATGTGAGTACATATTTATATTTACAAAATATTTTTGTCAACAATGGTAGAAAAAATGTGATCGAGTTGGTACGGCAGAATAGAACTGTTCAATGATTGCGATATAACTTTGAATTGTCACAGCCACCACGTTTGCTATTGTAACGTCAGAATATCGTGTGGTTTGTATTCAGTGATGCTTGCAAGTAATTGTGAATATATGTACAGTTGCTCAGCGCTTTGAAATTATTAAAAGCCATTTATTAAAAGTCTTGTTCAATTGCTAGACTACCTCGAACAAATATTTCAATTTGAAGTACTAGTTCATCGCTCTTATTAAAAAAAAAACCTTTAGTTGAACAATTATTCACAACTTTAAATCATTTGATGCAATTATTAGAATGCTTAATTGAAGGGTAAATCTAAAGTTGTCAATAATTAAATAAAAATTTTCTTATATAGTAATGTACCTAACAAGCAAATAATAAGGTATCAATGTTCCATAAAACAGATGCAATTCGTTATGGTACGCCTTACCAGTGAAGTCGCAAAAACTATTACTATTCATATTG